TGCCCGCTCCTCTCCCTCTTCCAAACCGTGGCCCTGCTGCTCAGACTGTCCTGTGCGCAAGAACAGGGGGTGGGATGAAATTAGCTTTCTTGTATGTCACAAAAGGTCAAATATTAGCGATTTCCTAGATCTTTAGGAGTCCTGGGGGAGCCCTGGGGCTGTTAACCACAAGGTCAGCAGTTCGAAACCACCAGTGGTTCTGCGGAAGAAAGATGAGGTTCTCTACTGCACAAAGAGTTGCCATCTCAGAAACCCACACGGGCAGTTTGATCGGGTCGTTATGAGTCGGAATCAGCTCGATCGCAGTGAGTTTGCTTTTTTTGTTTGTTTTTAAGGAGTCCTGCATTGCAGAAACTAAGCGCGGGGGTACCCTGGGAGTCCAAAGATGAAGCATTTGGCTGCCAGCGGAAAGGGGATAGAGGCCTGAACAGAGACTCCTGTAAAGATTACATCTTAGAAAAAACCTCTACGGACAGGTCTGTTCAAGTGTCAAAGTCAACTCCACGGAAACGCAGACAGCAGAGAGCCTCATCACAACCCACAGCGAGTTCTCTACGCACAGCGATTCAGGGGCCGAGGCTCTGGGCTGAGGACGGGCACCTTGGGAATTCTGATTCCTCCAGGTCACCATTTGATCAGGAGCCCCTGCCCAGAGCTGCCAAGCACCTGGTGAACAGGTCTCTGCCTTCTCCCCTTCGGCTCTTAGAGAGGCATCCTTGTTGCCCAACCCTCGGCCAGGCACGGACCCTCCTTCCGTTTTAGGCTACTTGCTTTCAAATCGGCTTTCTGTGTGCTCAATAGTAGTGGGTTCTGGGGACCCGTGTGTGGGAGTTGGTGGCTTTATAGGCGCTCCACCCGGTGCCATCTCAGAAGTAGATCCCCACTCTGTCGTCCTGATGCCTCTGGACGGCCTAATCCACCAACCCTGAAGGTGGGATCCTTAACCGGAGGGAAATTTTCCCAAAGTTCTATTTTGGTGGGGGAATCCTTTCTAGCCTTGGGGAAAAAATTTGTTAAAGGGGATGGGAGTGGGGGG